TTCCGGCGTGGCCAAAAGCACCTCTGGACAACTTTTTTGGGGTTCAGAGCTTGTCGAAGTTTCTCGGCTTAGCTTCATGTCTTCACCCTTGTTGCGAGCGTTGAGGGCGGCAAGGAACAGAGCTCAACTCTGGTCGCTTTTGGGCCTGTACATGCAAGGTACCCACAGAAGGACCTCTTAGAGAGCTGACCATATCTTATGTTGCCTCCAGCCTCAAACCAACAGCAAGGCCTGGCCTGTGATGCCACGAACATGACCGGGTCATCGCCCGCTTGCGCCGACCACACTGCGCAGTGGTCCTTCAACTGCAGCAAAGTACGATTAAGGAAGGCAAACCCTAAAACCTCCATCAATCCCCAAAAACCCCGTACAACCCAACCAACCCATAAAATGCCGAGCCCTGTGTCTAAGCATCTGAGCCCAGAGTTCGGGAGCATCCCAGAGCCTTCTGAACAATGCGCTGGATGACCAAATTCCCAACGGTCTGCTTCATGCCAGGGCGGACCTGCAACGATCTGCACCGTGCCACCATGTACCACAAACAGCCGTTGTGGCCAAAGCGCGCAACATCCTCAGCATGTGCTACAGTACCTCCCCTTCGACGACCTGAACCAACGGCAAAACTCGAAATGTCAAGACCCTGGCACTACACAAGTCCTGGGCATTCATGCCCGACCCACCTTGTTGCAGGCGGCGGAAATTTCCAGCAGCCTGCAGAGGAGTTGCAGGAAATAGCGTGGAACGAGCAGCTCCCACTGCTTTCTTAGGGAGATGATGGGCTGCCGATAACTCCCGGATGTCTCCACAGCAGTCACATGGAGGCAGGGAGCACGAAGAAATTCAAAGACATGAGGAAGGCATGGGTGCAGAACCCGTGTTCGCGATTCCCACCTATATATCATATATCTATATGTGTCGATATGGTACTCTTCCAAACACATGAGACGTTTGTTCGACACATCGACTCCACGTTCACATCGTCCACGAACATCTCATGCGCCCATAGATCCTTCTCTGTCGGCTTGCTCCTAACCTCTGCCGCTTCTATGGTGAAATCGCCTGCTGTTGCAGCCGTTGCTTGATAGGTCGAAGCTGTGAGTCTTACAATTGAAACACGATGGTTTTGGGTAAGTACGTTCTTTCAGATTTCGACGTCTAAGACATTTCACACATGTGAAACATTGCCTGCGGGCATGCAGAGGTGTGCTCTGCCTGCCGGCTTTTCAAGCGAGAAGTTGAGAGGGCGTCATCGCAATGTTGGCTGCCCGCGTCGAGCTTTTTGGAACCGTGGCTAGCGTTGAAGACTCATTCCAAAAATCAACGAGCATTGTGTTTCTTATCGATATTCATATCGCTTGTCGTTGTTGATACTACTGTTGAGATTGGTACTGCCTTATTGCAACTAGCATCCTTCGGTTTCTTGGTGCCTCCGACTGACTGGATTCTGTAGTGTTCCTGCGCCTCTGCTGTCTGTGGTTCCCCGGTATTCATGGGCATTCATCTGACGGCCCTTCCCCTTTAAAATGCACATCCGCAGGATGCCTCGTCAACAGCTCCCGCCCGTCGCCGTCCACAGGGGGAACCGGCCTGGCCCAGAAGCGTGAAGTCAACCCATCCCTTTTTGAAGAGTGCAGATGTGGTCCCTAGGTTGTTGAACCACGCAATCCGTCATGAAACCTTTCTGAGGTCGAAAAGTATCAGGGTCTATACACTCAAGAAGATGTTGCAAAAGATTTGCAGTGCATCGCTGCTGCAACCCGTCCATGTGTCGACAAAATGCCACTGTGGCCAGGAATCCATGTCAGGATGAGAACGGGCATGTGGCAAGGCCGAGTTGTTGTGGCAGATATGGATCACCATGATTGAAGAACCCTTGCCCCATCCGGGCATTAGAAGCTGCAGATTCGGCTGCGGTGTTTATTTGGGCTTCCGTGTTTTGAGGTTTCAGGGTGCCCGGAAGCTTGCATTGCCGTGGAACCTTGAACCGCCAAAATGCCCCAAGACGCCATCCCTCTCTGAAACCTCTCGAGATCCTCAACACCCTAAACCAAAACCCCAAAGCCACATAAAGCCACCCTAGTGTCACGTCAATCCCAACATGCCCAGGCGCTTGTGCGGGTGGACTGCGCCGCATGCAGCGAAGCGAAGCTCGCCGGAGGCGCCCAAGTCCAACTGGCGAGCTTAAGGTCCGGGAGCTTAGGTCCAAGTGCTGAGCGCTTTGCGTGGCATCATAGCTTCTTCGGATTTTGGACTCCACGAATCACAAGACCCGAAGCCTTAAATCCGCCGCATTTGCATGCCATCCCTTAAATCCCTGAAGCGTTAAGCCGAAACCGCAGCCCAATTGCCCTCTAGTCGGTGCCTCGGGCCACCACGCATCCTTGCGCCTTCGGATGACCTCAATGATAGCTAGGAGAGATAAAGCGAGATAAAGCGCTGTGGACCCGCTGCGCCTCGTTACAGCCCGAAAGACTGCAGGTTCCTGTGGTTTTTTCCTTAAGTGCAACATCGCCTCTATTCGTTCATTCTGAGCTTGCGGCACTTCTGTCCGGAAGCTGCTCCTGCCATCAGGCAATGTAGCGGGTGGACATCACCGGAACCCATTCGGGATCCGTCAGTGCACGCAGGTTTTGCACATCTGCCAACACTGATGTGTTCTTGTGCCCCCGTCGCACCCCTCAAACAGAACATCAACTCCTCGTTGCCCTATGCATAATTCCTCAAGTCCTTGAGACTCAAAGATTTCCGAGCCGTAGAATTCAAAGACTGACGAAGTACAGGTAACACCCCGTGTGCCTGGGCCTTTGCCGGTGCTTTGGGAGATCCCAGCATGGACAAACCGCGGCTGGCCAAGGCCTGGCAGCTTTTCGAGTTTTTTTACTGGTTCTCCTTAATATTGGAAACTATAGGGGAAAATGGGGTATGTACTCCACATCATACCTAGGTAAACCCTTCAAGGGACTATCGAGGACCTGGTTCCCAAACTGCCGATGAAGAGCCTCCTGAATCAGCCTCCTGTTTGACTTAGGGTCCCAGCTGCAATGCGAACCCACTACCTCTGCTGGAGCTGCTGCGGCCACTGGCTGACGGCTACGGAAGCGCCCAGTCGAAGTGAAGTGTGCCAATGCATATTGTTCGAGTCCAGCGACGAGCGAAGCAAATCCACAATGCGAACGAGCAAAGGGTTTAAAGACGCAGCTCACGATGCTGATCCATCAGGCCTAGTGCACGGTTGGGACGTTCCTTAACGGGGATTTTAGTACCTCCCTACTTATAATCCCCATTAAGGACTGGTAGTATAAGGGACTATAATGGGGAACATACCAACGCAAGGGCTTTAAGGGATTGGGGATCCTGGAAAACAGCCTGCAGCATGTCATGGTTGCCCTCCCAATTTGGTGAATGGTGGGAGCCCCCATGGCCCCATGAGCCCTGAAGCGAAACAAAGCCTGAAAGCCCCAAGCCCTCAAACAACTGGTGCCCGAGGCCTGACAGGCCTTCCTCCGCATCAGCACGGTGCAGAGGAGGACCAGGAAGCCTTACAGTGCAACTCTGTAGCAGCTTGTGCAGCGACATCGCAGCTCTTGGGGGGTACAACGCCTGGAGTTCATTGGGGACCTCATGGTGCCGGAAGGTTGGAACTTTTGGGGCCTGAAGAGCTTCGGGTTTCGGCAGCTGGTGCTTGGTGCAGGACATCGGGGCTGTGAGCTGGTTAGCGTGGTCACAATGGGCTTTCTGGGGTACAAGGGTCTAGCCGGAAGCTTGAACAGGCACTTGAGCTCAGGCCAGTGGCCTTTCGCCCTCGTGATATGTGGACTTGGCCATACAAGGGGGTAGAAGGAAAGTGATAGCACACCGGACTCAAACGCCTCCAACCGAAGGCGGCACCAACCTTAAGCCTTCACGACTCCACTGTGCGCTGTGCTGGCTTGCAAAAGGAGGTGGAGGGCGCTGAAGGTCGAGAATATCCTCGCCGCCCCTGCCGCGCAGCTGTTGCTGGAGGAGGCAGTGCAGCAACGGTAGACCCACAACGGCAAGCCCAAGCCTACACTGCATCCTGGGTCACAGCTACGCCCATAGTCATAGTTTGTCATGCATGTGCTGTCATGTGCCCAGCCTACACCAAGGGCGAAGCCCAGAAACAGGATCTGGCCGCAGGGGGCAAAGAAGGCACATGAAGGCACCCGTTTGGAACAGCCGAAATTTCAAGGTTGCTACACGTATCCTTGGCAGCTGTTGAAGCCCCCTTTCACTAGGAGCCCTCCCACGTCGATGGTTGCAGCCGAAGTGCGAGCATGCAGAGAAGCCTCAGCCCATGCTGGCAGCAGCGAGTCGGTCTTGAGATCTACGAATCAGCATGGATGCTGCATCCGGGTTTGTTCTGGTCTTAAAGGTCCCTACGACTTTACATAGTGGAGTCTTTGGCCTTTCCTGTAGCCTTTCCAAGCATGATGGCATCTGGGCAGCTGGCAGCACAATGGTGAGCCTCCTGACACGGCGGCCTCGTCGCTCATCCACTCTGCCTCGGAGGCTCGCAACCCTGACTTATCGACTTTCACGTTTAGGGCTAAACCCTTACCCCCTTGCGCGCCTAATGGCCTAGTCCCGTCTAAATCCCCTCCTGCACTTGTGCCAGTCCACGAAACCCTCAGAGCCACAGCTTCCCTAAGCCTTGGGACCCGACGCTTCTCAGAAATCTGAATGGCATCCAGTTTCGGGTCCCTCCGGCATATAAGGCTCTCGACTCTCGCGGGTGAATGTTGATTTTTGGCTCAGGTTGCAGTGCTCTTATATAGTGATGCCTATGGGCATTATGGCAAGTTTGACATTTTAGGCTTGGGACCCATAGAACTTGATGGCTTCGGACGGTCCGCAGTCCTGAAGAAACACTCTGAAGCACAGGCGAGGCCTCCCAGGGCGCACGAACTCACTTCAAATTAACTTCAAATGCTCGCGCTTCCGTTCACCGACTCGTTTATGGACGGAGTTGATTGAGGAATTTAGGCAAGTGTTGGGTCGGCACCCCAAATGCAGGATTGCGAGTGTCGACTCAATGGATACGAGACGCAGTCCGCCGGAGGTGCTGGCACTTGCATGCTCCATGGTCTGTCGCATGTGCTCACCTCTGGCTTCGTAAGGGGAACAACTTTCCGGCGTCGTAGAAATTTCTGGCGCGGTCAGAGCCAGGCCAGCTCTGACAGGGGATAATTCTACTACCTCAATCCCAAGATGGGTCTAAACTTCTAAGCGGATTCTCAAGGGCGCCTCATTCGACTACCATGCTTTTGGGCCCCCGAAAAAGCCACCTTCCGCGGGCCTTTGGCTTCCAGAAGCTCCATGGCCCCGACCTCGTGGCCGACTTGCACTTGCCCCGGGATCCTGTGCCTGGAGATTTCGGAATGTGTCGGAATGTGGGTCTTTGCATCTGCTTCAAAAAACATGGGGGGGGGGGGGGGGGGTGGATTGAACATTTTGGGGTATATGATGTTAGGCCCTGGGTGTGCGTGAAATCTGAAATTCTAAGGCTTGAACGGACACACAAGTGTACCCTCAACTGTATACCTGGAAATGCCCCGAGCTCTACCATTCTCAGGAAGTTCTTTCCATAAGGTAGCTGCTTAACAAAGCAGAGCTTTCGGGTTGCATATCCAATTGCGGGATCAAGAATTGCCGTTTCAGGATGAAGTCGGGAGGACCATCAGACCACAGGACACAGGCACATGCCTTGTTTTCTTTTTACTCCTGCAAGAGCCTTGCGGATCCTGATTTCAGGTATCCGGCAAGTTTTTTCGTTTCTTGCTGCAAATGCTATCCGTAGACGCTGGTACCCTCAATCAAACCTTGTAGCCTCAAGCTCCGCACCCCCTTTTTTTCTGGCTCATGCTCACCCAAGGAACTTTCAGTAACTCTTTGCTCAGACGTCAAGAAGGAATTCCCCCTTTGGCCCTTGGGCCTGTCCAGCAGCCGCTGGGCTGCTGCACCAGAGATGCGGCTGGCGCGAACCGCCAGGACCTCCTTGAGAAGCCTGGGTGTAGGGTTTAGGGTTTAGGGTTTAGGGCTTAGGGTTTAGGGTTCAGGGTTTAATCTGGGTATGCCTGTCTTGGGCTTCGGTCAAGTATGGCCTGCTTGTTTATTCAATATCATGAGCAGAACGTCTCCATTTTCGGGGGCGTTGACGATTGGAGTCTTTGCCTTTCGGTGTTCGGGGCGCTTTTGGCAAAACGATGACTGCACAGCTCTTCTGACATACGGTCTCGTCTAGATCTGTTCTTTCCTGTTTTCTTTCTTTTTGCTTTCTTTCATTCTTTCATCTTGTTTTGTCTTCCTTTCTTTCGTTTCTTTCTTGGTGCTTGGGGGTGAGCCCCCGCGCTCTGGGAGCGCCCCCCACGTTGTTGTGGAAGACTGAGTGAATGTCTACGACACGCGGCAGTCTCTCCCAACCGGGGTTCGGAAGCGAAGATTTCTCTCGCGCTCTTGCTCCCCGTCTATCTCTTTCTGCCTTTCTCTCCTCCTCTTCTTCTTCTTCTTCTTCTTCTTCTTCTTCTTCTTCTTCTTCTGCACGCTTGAGGGCCCCCAGCAGGGGACCTGGCTGCGACGGCCAAGCGACTACCAGACAAAAAGACGCAGAGGAGAGGAGCCCACGGGAAGAGCTACCCGACTGAGACAGAACCAAGAAGGCAACGGGAAGGACCAGCAGATGGAGTTCGAACCAGGGGACATGGGGACCAACAGTGAGAGCGACCAACCGTAAAGTCACTGTAAACCGAGCGGACTACTGCAACGAAAAACGGGGACCGCTGACACAACGTCGTCTGAAAACCAGACCGACCCAACCGGACAATCTCTCCTCGGGCGGGCCCATAACAAGATAAGAGTCGCAATCAGAATAAAACCCCAGAACTTCTTTCTATTGTTGTCCTCCGCCAGAATAGTAACTCAATCTGCGAGAGCTTTAGGCTTCGGGTCCGAGCCACCCATCGAAGCGGTCCGAAAGTAGGTCCAGCAGCTGGGGCACAGCCACCTTCAAACCAAAACAGAATAAAAGCACAGATAGACGAAGCAAGTAGCAGAATGTGAAAACATATGAAAGAACATCAAAGAATATCAAATAACATGGAAACCAATAAAGATATTAAAATGTTTGGGGACCTTCGGGGATACTTGGGGGCCTAGTTTTTGCTTCGACATGGCGGCAAAGGATGGACGACCGCCGTGCCAAGTTCACAACCACGGTTCCGTCCAGCCTTCCACCACTGCGAGTTGAGGTGCGCTAAATTCACCTGGGCGAATCTTATGTGCAGGCTCAAGATAGCAACAACGAATCAGCGTGTGGAGGCATAATGACCGACCCAGTGAGGCTCTTCCCTACCCAAAATAGCTCCACTTAAGGCCATTGGACGGCACTGCAAGACGTGCTTTCCCTGAGGCCGAGTATAGAACCCCAAACATCTTCGCGCACGCACACGCAGTCTTAGGGTGACTGGGGGGGGGGGGGCCAGAAGAAAACATATTCTACGTGCTGCATGGGTTTAGCGGACGCCTGGAGATCGAAGTTCAAAAGAATTTCCATTTCAACCTCACTTGAATGTTCCTGCTTGAACCCCTTTCTGGCACACTTCGGCTCGAGGCACCCCTTGCAGGTCTGCGACTATGGTGACGCGTGAGGCCTGAGCAGTCAACCCATGATTGGTGGGAACTGCAATGCGGCTAACCATCCACATGTTGCTGTGCAGGGAGTCAAACAAATCCAAACAGACCATTGGCCCACCTCGCTCTGCAGTTGTTCGAGCATCTCTTCACAAAAGAAGAGAAGGTCCTCAGCAATGGTTACAACTTGGGATTCCCTTGGCATGACGCCCGTTGCCATGCAAGTGCTCTGGAATGTTGACGCCTAAGACAGGATCGTCAGCTTTGTCTGCTGGCAGCTGGCACAACATTTAAGCCGCCAACGCGCCGAGCGAAGCCAGACGAATTCAAACCTGTCTTCTCAACAGCCCCGGTACCACAGCTCTTGACTTTGAGTCTTTAGGAGCCTCTACTTGCGTGACTTGGCGGTGTTGGCCCGGGCGTTGGCCGTTGGCTTTGTACACGTGAAGGGTACGGATGTGCACACACACACAGACACACAGACACACAGACACACAGACACACAGACACACACACACACACACACACACACACACGCGCGTGCGCACGTACCTATAGTTCTTCGTCTCAACTCTCAACAACCAATTGGCAAAGGACTACCACGCAAAACAAAGGGACATCTGGGAGAGTCTGCTGTTCAACCTTCGGCTTGGGCTCTGACGCATTGCAGTACATTCAAGTTGAAAAAAACGAATATATAAACTAATTTAATACAAACACAAATCCGGGCACGTGTTCTCCACGTCCGGAGAACAGCATTCAATTCTGTGTATCTGCGCAGTGTTGTTGGTGTTTTTGGCTTTGCTGCATCTGGGCCCATTTGAAAATAGTGAGTTGTGTGCGTGCGCGCGCGCGCGCGCGTGCGCGCGCGCGAGGATGTGCCGGTGTGCGGGTGGTCCTTTGCGCATGTGTGTGGGTGGGTGTGTGCGTGCGTGCGTGCGTGCGTGCGTGCGTGCGTGCGCGCGTGCATGCGCGGGTGCGCTGGTGAGCGCGCGTATGCGTGCGTGGGCGTGTGCGAGTGCGCGTGTGCACGCGTGCATGCGTGAACTTGTTTGCGGTCTGCATTTTCCTACTGCAGCGAAACGCAGTTTCCGTTGGGATATATGTTTTCGCGAGCGTTCGCATGCAGCCTGGGTCACGTTCATACAATACAAGTACAGAGATAATTACTCATGACCCATAGAGCCAGCGTTACTGCTACTCATGTCACTCAACTGGAAGGGCAAGCCAACCGCTCCAGCGCGAAACTGAAACCCGAAGATGCCACGAGTGCAGGAGATGCGTGCTGCTTCTTGTGTTGTTTCCCCGACACAAACTCCGATCGGTTTTCTGCTTCGCTGCATTTGGGAGCTTCTGCGGGAAACGTGCGCTGCTTCCACGGGAGCTGCGCGTTTCAATGGGAATGCTTATGAATGCTTCAATGAAGTGAACAACAGTCATTTATATGCGAAAGTTGACGTGCGATATGCCCTTGCTTATATGGCATTTGTACTTTGCAGTAAAATGCTGCTGATTGTTGTTGATGCACAGACATTCATGTACATGTGCGGATCTCTCAGGGATCGGCTTTGCAGGTCGAAGCTGCCGACATGGAGGAAGAGGACCTCGGAACCGAAATGCACTACTCAAACGCTGTACAGAATGCTCCGACATTTGTTTACAGTCTAAGCACGTCTAAGCGCTAGCATCCGCCAGCACTTCGAGTTTGAGCTTCGACGTTTGCAACTCGGAAAGTCCAGCTTCAAATCGATCCAGCCGACTGCTGAAGTCAGCTGGTACAAAACCTTCCCAGCTGACCCATGTCGGGGGTTAGGGGCTTGAGAGTTTCAGCACGAGGGATGTCAAATCATCACATTGTCAACAGAATTGAATTAGTCCTTCTGCCCCGGGTCGCTGGCGGCCTCACCAGGATGGTGCTGGCACTTTACCACCGGCAGCCAAGTACGCAGGACCTGCGAAGGAGGACATCGTGCTGGAGATTGAAGGCTTGAGATGGTTTCCAAATGCCTGCGCCTCAAGTCCTCGTTTAGCCTTATCCTACTGGGTCAGCCCATTGGCCTGAGAGAGGCTGAACCTCATCTCGGTGTCAGGGTTTTGGATGGGGTCAGGACATGGGAGAAGAATTGAGGTTCCAAGTCCGGCGTTTAGAGCTTTGGGATGGCTGACGCCGGGAATTCCAACTCGATTTCGAAAAATGCCTAGCAAAGCCACGTAAACCGGCCTCTTCTACATCGTTCGGCCGACAGTTACAGATTGCTATGCCGCAACCTGGATCTCAAACGAAGAATGCACAAAACATTGCAAACGCTCCCTTGGGAGTTAAGGGTTCGCGGCACTGCCCGTCCTCGGCAGAGATGGGCGCAGGTAAGGTCTCCCAGGTGCCTTGTCGCCCTGCATGAACCACCTACTGATTACATGTCAACATATGATACTATCAGAAAATTGTTTGTATGATATTGTATTGTACGATACTATATTATATTCATTATATCATATTACTTGTATTATATTATGTTTTATTAGATCATACAGTATTCTACCGTGTTGTACTTTAGTATACACAAGGCTTAAGCTACCATACGCTGTTATAAGCTCAAAGCTGGCATGTGGCTGGCATGTGCAAACGCTGGCTTCGACAGCCTAATGAGAATCTCGGTGGCGTCGCGACATCCAACCTCTTTCCCCAAAGTGCCTTGGTCGCTGCTCTTCTTGCGCTGGCTGACCTGCACCATCAGGATTGCAAGGCTGGAACATCTTCTCTTAAACATCTTGGAGACCCAACTATACCCTCAACCTTACCACCCCTGCCATGCTGCCACCGTCCTTGGCAGGTCCCAAAAGTCCAGCGAAGCAGCAACTTTCTGATAGCCTCGGCCATCAGCGAACACACTCAAAACCAGATTCCGGCCAAAGTGTGGAAGGTCTAAACTGCCAGTTTTTTGGGTGAGTCAACGTGGGCTGAGATTGCAAGGTCAAAAAGCTGACGGTCAGACGTTGACATGGCCAGCATGGGCCCCAACGCATTGCTTCAATGCAAAAGATATCTCTTCCTAACTAACATGTTGTGGCATTTTGGGGTGGTGTGTCTGCAGGCTCGATGGCATCCGATGTTGATATTGAAAGTTTTTGGAAGCATGCCCTGACGAATTAAACTATTTTCAAACAGATGCAAGCATCATGTCACAAACGTTTCGACTCAAACTGCGCATGCAATTGTGCGAAATTCATGGTGAAAGTAGACGCGACTTTGCTGAGAGCCAGTGGCAGCCTGCAAGATCCGCGCGGGTTTTCGGTCCGCCCTGCCCCCCCCCCTCTCCCCGATACCTGCTGAAGCGAATTCAGCATCTGACGGACTCATGCAACAGAACCAGTGTCTGGGCACAAAACAATGTCTCAAACGCATTTTTTGTTGAAAGCGACGGAAGCAAACTACCTGCTGACTAAGCAGCCACCAGCCAGCTTTTGGGCGAGGGCTGGCTGCATGAGGTAGCTACTGTACAGGAATCATTAACTGGCCCTTGTGGTGCATCTTCAGCCCTACATGTCGAAACCTGTTAAAACTTGGTCAAGAAACATCAACCAGTCGCGTTGTAAACAGCGAGCCGTTGCCAGTATCACCCTGGCGAAAGTAAAGCAGCCTGTCCATGTTCCGCTGCTGACCACGCGTGCGGCGGCACGTGCCACGTTGGTGTGTGCTAGGCTTTGCCGTATGGGCTCAAGGGGAAGGCGAAGGATTGGTCAAACTCCTCGTTGAAGGTGTCAAAAGACTTGATCGGGATTCTCAAAGCCTGGACCAAGACATATCAAGACCGCTTCAAGCAGTGCTGAATCTTGAGCTGTTTGCATTCGCATGAACAAATACAAACAACTGGCATGGCCAAAGGATGCCGTGAAGCTGGTTGGCCGCGAGCGTCGGACTTGAAGAACCTGTTTCCCAATGCGTCAACACAAAAGATGCAGAATAGGATGCATGGATGCTTTACGCGAAACGACCTTGAAATCCGACAACCTCAGACCCGACCTGCAACATTGCTGGAACTCTATCGGGGATACCCCCACTTAAGCACTACAAAGTACTGGTAGATGGGGTCGGAAACCCCGAATTCCCTGCTAAGAACCAGGGAAAACCACTGGACTTCCCCAAGATGCTCCCAGCGCTGGCAGCCGCCCCGCCGGCGCCACTTCTGACACCGGGACAGCCGCCGGCTGGCCAGTTCTGCAGTTCCTTGCTGAGAGCTTTGGAGCTTCGGCTCGAGCTCTCTTCAGGCACAGGCATCACATGCGGGTTATCCCTGCGATCCCTGAACGCAGCACTTGAGTAGGAACTGCGACCTTGGCGATATGATCTGAGGCCCACTGAAACTGAGGATATCCAAAATGAGCCGCACTCCGTGCTTCCATGTGAGAAGCAACGTTTTCTCTTCGGTTGGTTTTGTTAGGGGTTTGGTTGTGGCGCCGGGTGCTCCTGGCACGAGGCTCCTGTCATGGACATCACAGCGATCGCCATGACGTACCGCAGTTTGCATAAGACGAGGTATCACAAATGATGTGGGACTTCCTTGAACCCAGTGACCACGATGTGAAACGTCCGGCATATCGTGTCAGTGTAGTAGTGAATGATATAGTTGCTAGTGCAAAATATGATAAAATCAGTCGAGCACGCTTCCTGTCTGGTGCTGTGGATAAACGATTTCGATTTTCGTCTGATGTCAAATTTCTGGTGTCCACAGACACAAAATGGGCAATTTTTCGATATGGGATCAGCGATGCGTGCGGGCGGGCTTGCTGACGGGATTGCGGGCGTTTGTGTGGGTGTGGACCCTGGGCGCGGGCCGCGGGCGTGGGCCGTGGTCTTGGGCTGTGTGCGCGCGCCGTGTGGGTGCATGCGTGCGTGGGCGTGCACACACACACACCCACACACCCATGCACACCACGAACAAACGAACAAACAAATTCACGCGCGGATGTATGTATATATAGATATATACACATACATGAATATGAATATGAATATGAGTATGAGTATGAGTATGAATATGAATATGAGTATGAGTATGAATATGCACATGCATACGAATATATACATAAACACTTAGCACTTTTTGTATATGCATATGTATACACACATACATATATATACACATATATACACATACCTATATACAGATACATGGGAGGTGAGTTGTGTGTGCATTTATGTCGTCACCCGTTCATCTACTCAGCGCTGCACTCCTCCAGCAAGTTTTCTCCCAATGCGGGCAATTTGATTGTACAGCCATGAAGGTTTTAAGGGAGCCCTACTTTAACACATTGTAGCATCTGATCGTTTGCTGTTCCAAACTTGCATAGAAAATCATGCCCAGCTTCCAAATCGGCGAAGAGGACCAGAGTTCAGCAGGATCACCATGGTGCCAACAACCAGAAGCATCAGCTTCATGATGAGGAGCAACAAGGGCACGAAGTACTTCTCCAAGATCCACTTGAGAACCTTAAGATTCTCGATTAACATTAACATGGTGTACAGTATGTGGCAAAGCCGACTGAAGCCGACAAGGGTGGGCTAGTCATGTATTGAATCTGAAGCAGACAGCTCCAAGAGAAATGGAAACACGCGCGGAAATGACCGGCAATCAGCTGGGCCACAAATAACACAGCACTCGCTGCAAAGCAGTACTTCCAGACCTGCTCTCACGACAAAACGCGTTCAGGAGGGCCCGTGCTTCATGCGCTAACTTCCGCTGATGGGGCACGGTAGCAAACATACACACACACACAGATGCGGTTGCTTTCAGTGCAAATCTAAACTCCCAATCAAGCACATGTGACACATGACCCTTCTGGCTAAATCGGTCGCCTCCGAAACCAGCCCGTAGAATCACCTGCACCCGCCTTCAACTCCAGCTGTTCGTTTGTGGGGTCTCGCAGATACTCAAGCACACGAAGGGCCCTCTTCATGGTCTCCTGAAACGTCTCCTTGACAAGACATCCGTTGCAGCCGGTTGCGGATCTTGCATTTTTTTCTCCTCTGCTTCTTCTTCTCTCTCTCTCTCTCTCTCTCGCTCGCTCTCTCGCTCGCTCTCTCGCTCGCTCTCTCTCTCGCTCTTTCTCTCTCTCTCTCTCTCTCTCTCTCTCTCGCTCCTTCTCTCCCTCTCCTGACATCCAGAGCTCTTTATTATACAAGCGGCATCGTTGGCACTGTATCTGCTTTGTGGATGGCCCAGCACTTTCTTATCTTGTCTCAATGTTCACAATTGTGCTGTTTGTGGACTGGCTCTGCCAAGACTCAAGCAAAGGGCCAGACTCGTAGATCACCTCCTTGATCGCCTGTCCAGAGGATGTCTGAGCAGTGGGAGAGCCAGCCCAAACCCCAATCCAACGCCGGTACTGAACGCTCTGCCTTCATCACATGTGTTCGGAAGATTGGCAGCTGCTTGGCCGCCGAGGTTTCGGCCATGCTCATTATGGTGGAGCCAGAGCTGCCATGCACGCAAGCTCCGCAGATGTCTCGCGAGTCAGAACCGATGACCTCCTTGCGTGCGAAGAGGTTGAGGGGTCAGAGTTCTGGCTTACTGGCAGCTTGGGAAAGAAAAGAAACACAACTGACACAACTACGACGCGGGACAGCCCCGCCGCAGCGAACCCAGGCGACAAGGCTTTTGCAACAGTAAGACAGTAAGACGCAACGGAAGGATCCTACTGGCCGAAGCTAGCGGCTTGTCATGCCAGGTGTCGCAACGCGGGCAATGGTACCGCTGGTGCCCCAGATGCAGACCCTCAGTATCCAAGCCTGGCACGTGCGTTGGGGGGTCCTTACATCCACACCGGCTTTGGTGCGGGAATGGCCGCTTTACAGTCCACCAAAGCACTCTCCATTGAGAGTTGCACCGTAGCAGGCCTTCTTGACACTGCCGCTCCGCATCATCTGGCTTCTGCTTGGCCTTTCTTGGGAGGCCATAGCAACGCCACCGGACGTGGCCCCAAACATCATCCAGGCACACGGCACCTTAGTTCTCCAATCTTTGCCAGGAGCTATTGTTTTGCGTCAAGACTTCCCCCAACTTGCCCTGCAGGGCTTTCTGGAGATTCAGGTTTCAAGCGTGCGTGCTTCCCCACTTGCAAAACACCTGTTCGTGTTCGTGTTCGTGTTCGTGTGTGTGTTCGTGGGTGTGCGTGGGTGTGCGTGGGTGTGCATGGGTGTTCGTGTGGGTGTGCGTGGGTGTGCGTGGGTGTGCGTGGGTGTGCGTGGGTGTTCGTGTGGGTGTGCGTGGGTGTGCGTGGGTGTGCATGGGTGTGCGTGGGTGTGCGTGGGTGTGCGTGGGTGTTCGTGTGGGTGTGCGTGGGTGTGCGTGGGTGTGCGCGGGTGCGCGCGGGTGTGCGTGTGGGTGTGCGTGGGTGTGCGCGTGCGCGTGCGCGTGCGCGTGCGCGTGCGTGTGCGTGTGCGTGTGCGTGCTGCGCGGGCGTGGGCGTGTGCGTGTGCGTGTGTGCGCGCAGGTGACGCGCGCGCGCGCGTGCACGCGCGCGCGTCTCCGTGTCTCGGCGATGCCTGGGTTGACTCCCTAGCTCAGCCTAGCCTTGACCGACTCTGGCCCACCCCGCCCCCCCTCTCGCATGAAATCCTACTGCTGCCCAGAAGTACCGAGCCAGGGACCGTCGCCCCAAAACTCCAGCCTGACTCGATGGGGACATGCTTTGCATCATGATCAAGGAGGATCAGAGGGTCTGCAAGGTGCCTACAAGGTACTTCAGCCCTTCACAATCACAACCTGAAGCTTCTCGAGCCCATGCTGCCGCGCTGCACACTTTCGCAGACACGACACTTCGCCGGCTGCCGGTGCCAGGAGATGAAATGGGAGCCTCAAACTGTAGTTACCCTGAGGCCTAAAGCTTAAACAGCCAGCTCCGTCCCTAAATCATCTCTAAACAGCCGAGCTACAGCAATGCTTTCTCACAAATGGTCAATGTTTTGAGCTTTGTCTTTTCCCGCCGAGTGCTGCGGACCGTCCAACACAACATGCTGTGCAGCATGCCCTCAAAGTACACTCGCTTAAGGCTTGCATGTTTTTTACACCGGCCACCCCTCTGGGGATAGCCGGATGCCCCACGAACTGACTGTACAAAGCAACAGCATGATCATCTCACTTCTTAATAGGATTCTTGGTGGTCGCATTCTTGAAGCCCTCGACCCAGTTGATGGCCCAGAAATCGGAGGCGAGGGCAGGGTGGCACATGTACTCATATGGCATGTAGAAGTAGCCCTTGTCGCCCCACCTGGCTGCGCACAAGCCCACTACACAATCTGTCCTGTGACAAAAGCCGTCATCAGTGACTATGAACATACTTGAAACTAGCAGCACTAGCACACGTGCCCCATCCGGACAAGCAACCCTTCTCCCCAGGAGTTGCGGACGATGAAGCATTGCTGGAAGTCGTCGTAGCCCACTGCGCACACGGCATGGCCACCAAGCTGCTGGTCCGTCGCCTGGGGCATCACCATCTTGCCGGTCCTGGCAACCTCCGCTGTCTGGAAGCTTGTCAGGACAGCGAAACCGAACACAAAGGGGTAGCCGTTCTTCAGGCACGCCTTGAACTGGCTCAGGTCCTGTGCCACACGGGCATAGCCCATGACCCTGCACTTCTGGGCCAGTTCGTAGGCCTTGTCATCCGGCTGCTGCTTGAAGAAGCTGGGCCCATCATCGTACTTCCAGACGCTCTCCGGGCACACGCCCACCTTCGACATAACCTTGATGCCGTCACGGATCATCGCACCAGCATCCTGATTCACGCTACCTTCCACCAGCCGCTCATTGTAGTAGATGAACAGGCGGCTGGGGGTGAAGTCTGCGAAGTCCTTGTGGTTCTCCACCTGCATCTTGTGCAGGGCGAAATGGAAGCCTGCCGCCAAAGCGTTCGCTGTGCAGCTGCCCAAATGTCCCTGATCGAAGATGGGGAAGCCACCATTCATCGGTCGCAGGTCAATGATCTCTTTCGTTCCTAAGCAAAAACCACAGCTCGAACACAGCTCTCTACTGCTTCGGCAGAAATCACCAAGTAATTTTAAAGAAACACTTGAAGCAGACCGTGTCTCCCTCAGCCCTCCTCTTGATCTGGCTGGGAGCGTTGACCTTGTCAAATGTCATGTGAAGGTCCCGATGGTCTGGCATGTCGGGTCGCCACCCGAACTTCATGTGCGTTCGCATCGGCAGGGACAACACACTCGGATGCCTCGGCACCGATCCAGCTTGCAGCATGCCACTCGCCGACGTCACGCTGCTTGTGTTCTTGAAGCCCTCGACCCAGTTGATGGCCCAGAAATCGGAGGCGAGGGCAGGGTGGCACATGTACTCATATGGCATGTAGAAGTAGCCCTTGTCGCCCCACCTGGCTGCGCACAAGCCCACTACACAATCAGTCCTGTGACAAAAGCCGTAGTCAGTGACTATGAATATACTTGAAACTAGCAGCACTAGCACACGCGCCCCATCCGGACAAGCAACCCCTCTCCCCAGGAGTTGCGGACGATGAAGCATTGCTGGAAGTCGTCGTAGCCCACTGCGCACACGGCATGGCCACCAAGCTGCTGGTCCGTCGCCTGGGGCATCACCATCTTGCCGGTCCTGGCAACCTCCGCTGTCTGGAAGCTTGTCAGGACAGCGAAACCGAACACAAAGGGGTAGCCGTTCTTCAGGCACGCCTTGAACTGGCTCAGGTCCTGTGCCACACGGGCATAGCCCATGACCCTGCACTTCTGGGCCAGTTCGTAGGCCTTGTCATCCGGCTGCTGCTTGAAGAAGCTGGGCCCATCATCGTACTTCCAGACGCTCTCCGGGCACACGCCCACCTTCGACATAACCTTGATGCCGTCACGGATCATCGCACCAGCATCCTGATTCACGCTGCCTTCCACCAGCCGCTCATTGTAGTAGATGAACAGGCGGCTGGGGGTGAAGTCTGCGAAGTCCTTGTGGTTCTCCACCTGCATCTTGTGCAGGGCGAAATGGAAGCCTGCCGCCAAAGCGTTCGCTGTGCAGCTGCCCAAATGTCCCTGATCGAAGATGGGGAAGCCACCATTCATAGGTCGCAGGTCAATGATCTCCTGTTCTCCTAGGCTTCAATGGAGGTGAGCATCAACGACCTTTGAAACTAGTCCTATGAAACCCAGAGACCCTTGAAACAAAAAGGGGCACTCTTGCGATGCTACCTGCAAACCCGTCTCCCTCCGCCCTCTTCTTGATGTGGCTGGGAGCATCCACCTTGTCAAAGGTCACGCGGAGGTCGCGATGATCCGGCATGTCGGGTCGCCACCCGAATTTCATGTTTGTGCGCAGGGGGAGGGACATCAGGCTTGGATGCCGCTGCGCCGATTCGGCCTGGATCTCGCTGCTCTCCGCGGCGACGGTGCTGGCGTTGCAGTTGCCCATCTTGGTCAACAGGTATATCTGCGGTCAACAAGGGCGTTGGGAGGACGGCACGCGAGATGGTCTACTGAGCTGAGCCGGAAGTCGTGCAGTGAGGGACGGGAGCGGCTGGGGCCTATCTTTACACCGCGAGCGAGCTGGCCTAAATACTAGCCACGGCTGGAGTCTACTACACGGCCCGTGTTGGGACGGCTAGAGACCCGCAGCACGCACCACTGAAAGCATGTGAGCCACCTTTTGCCTGAGTCCTGTAGACCGTCCTACGCGATACGCTGTACAGCATACTTTGTTAAACCCCCTACGCATCGCAGGGTTTTTTTCCGGCCAGCCACCCCTCTGGGGATAGCCGGATGCCCCACAAACGGACTGTACAAAGCAACAGCATGAACATCTCACTTCTTAATAGGATTCTTGGTGGTCGCATTCTTGAAGCCCTCGACCCAGTTGATGGCCCAGAAATCGGAGGCGAGGGCAGGGTGGCACATGTACTCATATGGCATGTAGAAGTAGCCCTTGTCGCCCCACCTGGCTGCGCACGAGCCCGCTACACAATCTGTCCTGTGACAAAAACCGTCATCAGTGACTATGAACATACTTGAAACTAGCAGCACTAGCACACGCGCCCCATCCGGACAAGCAACCCCTCGCCCCAAGAGTTGCGGACGATGAAGCATTGCTGGAAGTCGTCGTAGCCCACGGCGCACACGGCATGGCCACCAAGCTGCTGGTCCGTCGCCTGGGGCATCACCATCTTGCCGGTCCTGGCAACCTCCGCTGTCTGGAAGCTTGTCAGGACAGCAAAACCGAACACAAAGGGGTAGCCGTTCTTCAGGCACGCCTTGAACTGGCTCAGGTCCTGTGCCACACGGGCATAGCCCATGACCCTGCACTTCTGGGCCAGTTCGTAGGCCTTGTCATCCGGCTGCTGCTTGAAGAAGCTGGGCCCATCATCGTACTTCCAGACGCTCTCCGGGCACACGCCCACCTTCGACATAACCTTGATGCCGTCACGGATCATCGCACCAGCATCCTGATTCACGCTACCTTCCACCAGCCGCTCATTGTAGTAGATGAACAGGCGGCTGGGGGTGAAGTCTGCGAAGTCCTTGTGGTTCTCCACCTGCATCTTGTGCAGGGCGAAATGGAAGCCTGCCGCCAAAGCGTTCGCTGTGCAGCTGCCCAGATGTCCCTGATCGAAGATGGGGAAGCCACCATTCATAGGTCGCAGGTCAATGATCTCTTTCGTTCCTAAGCAAAAACCACAGCTCGAACACAGCTCTCTACTGCTTCGGCAGAAATCACCAAGTAATTTTAAAGAAACACTTTAAGCAGACCGTGTCTCCCTCAGCCCTCCTCTTGATCTGGCTGGGAGCGTTGACCTTGTCAAATGTCATGTGAAGGTCCCGATGGTCTGGCATGTCGGGTCGCCACCCGAACTTCATGTGCGTTCGCATCGGCAGGGACAACACACTCGGATGCCTCGGCACCGATCCAGCTTGCAGCATGCCACTCGCCGACGTCACGCTGCTAGTGTTCTTGAAGCCCTCAACCCAGTTGATGGCCCAGAAATCGGAAGCGAGGGCAGGGTGGCACATGTACTCGTATGGCATGTAGAAGTAGCCCTTGTCGCCCCACCTGGCTTCGCGCAAGCCCACTACACAATCAGTGCTGTGGCAAAAACCGTCATCATCAGTGACTATGAACAATGAACATACTTGAAACTAGCACACGTGCCCCATCCGGACAAGCAACCCCTCTCCCCAGGAGTTGCGGACGATGAAGCATTGCTGGAAGTCGTCGTAGCCCACGGCGCACACGGCATGGCCACCAAGCTGCTGGTCCGTCGCCTGGGGCATCACCATCTTGCCGGTCCTGGCAACCTCCGCTGTCTGGAAGCTTGTCAGAACAGCGAAACCGAACACAAAGGGGTAGCCGTTCTTCAGGCACGCCTTGAACTGGCTCAGGTCCTGTGCCACACGGGCATAGCCCATGACCCTGCACTTCTGAGCCAGTTCGTAGGCCTTGTCATCCGGCTGCTGCTTGAAGAAGCTGGGCCCATCATCGTACTTCCAGACGCTCTCCGGGCACACGCCCACCTTCGACATAACCTTGATGCCGTCACGGATCATCGCACCAGCATCCTGATTCACGCTGCCTTCCACCAGCCGCTCATTGTAGTAGATGAACAGGCGGCTGGGGGTGAAGTCTGCGAAGTCCTTGTGGTAGCTAGGGTAGATGTAGCTTTTTATCTTTTTTTGTGCTTAGTCGTGACTTTTAGTACCTGGACACCCTAAACCCTCAACCCTCAACCCTAAACCTCCCTACCATATAACCCTAAATGTTAAACACGAATTTGGCGATTTGATCAATTTTTCCCCCCGTTGTTCAGCACCAACTTGGCGATTCGATCCATTTCGGCCCCTCTGACCCCCATTGTTC